TTATGGCTTACAGAAGATTTACCCAATGTAACATGTTATTTTGATTTCTAGATGGCTGCTATTATAAGAAGAGACAATTCAAATGATTCCAAAATGCAACTAACTTTTTTAAATGTTGTTATATATTCAGATAGCAAATTAAACAGCTAATAAGAAAAAAAAACACTAATTGCAGAAATCTAGTCTTTGAAAAAACTGTTTTGAACAGATCAGTAACTGCTTAAGCATTTCTATCAATTAAAACATCAATCTCTAAAAAAAAAAAAAAACCATCAATCTCTCAATGACTAAGCTTCATGTCACTTATCATCAAGCAAGCTCTCTCAGCCAGCTCTGATGACTCATACTTGATTGCACTAAATTCCTTGGACTTTCTATTCTCCATCATGTTATCAGCATACATTATGTGACCACATTACATTACATTTGTCACATAAAATCAAATTAGAGGCTTCTCACAAACATCTGACAGGACCTTCTGCCCATCACAGTAACATGCCTTATTGCTCCACTACAACAAACTGCAAAGTTTATTGCATGAAGTTGCCATATTCTCTCTCAGTAACACAAAGTTGGCACTGCCACCAGTATATCTATGGCTTGGATCATGTTCTTTATTCCAGTGTCAGGGCTGGACTCACCATGGTACTCAGGTGTTCCACATCAGCCTCTATGCCAATGAGTACCATGTACTCAAGCTCAGGAGTTCATACTCAATGGCAGGGTCACCAGACACCAAAATCCATGATTCATTCTCCTGGTTGGTAGATGCAAGAATGTACTCGAAGCAAAAGTCCAAGCAGTACCCGGGGGCTCACACCTGAGTCAATGCATTGTATAGCCTGGCCCATGTGATACGTACTAGAAGCCTATGGTCAAGGCCTTCAGGGCTCAAATACTCTGTGCCAGAGATCACTTTACCAAGCCAACGAGGTCCTCAAATAAGCCCATGCACTCGGTCTTGGACACATGTAGTCCATGCTGTGGCAACTCCTTGCTCACATATGTCAGCACAATTAGGGGCCAGCCTCTCAATTGCAGGTATCGGCCTCTGCCTTCACCATTTACTCTGCCCATGTTCATCTTGGAGCCTAATCAGCCTATGTCTTCCATGTTGCTAGCAAGATTTCCTCCATGTCTGCAGGTTTTATGTTTCCCATTCTGATACCACTAGGTCTTCTGGTCTAAATTCCATGCCAATACCACCAAGTTCATGGGCAGTTTGCTGAGGATGCTCAGAAGGGGAAAAGTCAACTTCTGGATAGGTTTTCTCATCCACTTTCACATGCATAAGACTATCAAATAGCAGTGACCAGGAAATATATACAGTTTACACAACTTCAATGTTTCCATTTTTATCCTCACAGATATTTGCTGAGGCCATCATAATAGCCATACTAAATACTTCCTTTAATTTCTTACAGTCAGCTCTATGATTCAGATGTGCTACTGAAACTGTGTGTAAGTCTTCCAGGCTATAAGGCATAAATAATCTCACTTGGGACATTATGATTATTTAGGATACTAGGTAAAACATGGATTATTCCTGGGCCACACAGGCCCACACCCATCCATGCAGCCACAGCCATCACCTTGTGCATTGCTCTGCTGGCATGTTCACCACCACGATGATCTCTGGCTTTCCTCATCTTCCACTCAGACAGACTATCCTTGTTTAGACTTTCAGCAATGCTTTCATTTTCTCTTCCATCTTGAATTCAGCTACATCACATCCTTTAATTTCCCATCAGCATTCATTAAGAGCTCTGTGTACGTTACTTCAACAACCTTCTCTTTAGGCAGATCATTAAGGGGCTATCATTTCATATCAAAAGTACATTTGCAATGAAGGTTCCCTATCTTTTAGTCGGGTTGGCCTAGGATTCAAAGGCACTGCCTCCTTTTCCCTCTTCCTGTTTCACTCTGAGCACACCATTCTCCTTCTGCTTTGAGGTCTAGAGCCACGTGCTGCTGCTCAGCCTGCTGGGCACATCTCCGTCCTCCCTTGTTTTAAGTGCCACGGACACCTTTTCTGGCAGCACTCAAGCACTACCACCATTTTCTTTGTGTCCAAGTTTTGTTGTGTGCATGCTTTTAAATAATATTCTGTATCACAAAGTGAGAAATATGCATAGAAGTCTTCTGCTATATACCAAAGAGTTGACTGGGGAAAAGAAAAGTATTTGTGCAACAGAATTGCAAACTTCCTCCATTGATTGCAGATTACCATAAAGCAAATGAATAACAAGATAGGGTTATTCTGTCCTGGGGCTTTACAAATATTTTCTCTAAAATGTAAGAAAGAAACCAGACATTCCAAGTAAATCAATAGGCAATATTGCTTCCTAATATCAAGATTACAGCTTCCAAGTAAATTTTTTTAAAAAAACTTTTACCCACTATGCGTTTAACAGTTTTGTAGTCACTAGAGACTTTTCTGGTAAGACCAGTGGTGACAGTAACAAATGTCTGCAAATATCTGTCTGTTTCTCTCCCTCTTTTTGGCTATTACTGTTATATGCTATCAAGAACACTGTGAAGCTCTGAAAACTATAGTGAGTCAATATTTCCCAAAGGAGCCATGTACAATGCTATAAAATCACAGATGAGCAAGATCCACTCAAAGTATAACACAGACCAATGGATTCTTAATAGAATAAAAAGAAAACCCACTCATTGCTATCAAGAAGTCCAATGACAACTCTACATAAAGTTCTAAGGCTGCCTAACTTTATCACAAATACTAGCTGCTGGATTTGAACCACTGACTTTTGGTTAGAAGCATAAAATATAAACTAATACTGCCATCAGGGCTAAAACACAAACAAGTACAGTGATATGATTTCAGATTCCATGTTGCAGTTAATCTTTAGGAAACCAAGGTGTGTTGAGTTTTGATAAAATTGAAGGAAGAATATTTACAATTATGTGAAGAGGTTACTAAAAATAACCCTGTGTTTTCCAATGACACATCTGCACAAGGCTGGATTTTCTTCATATACTTTAGTCAAAACAACATATCATAGCAGATTGAAAGCAGAAGCAGACATGAGAACCCAGCTGTCTTCTATTAAGTCAGGCATTAAAGATGTTTGCAAAAAGGTAAACTAATGCCATTCTTCTTTCTAGAATTTGTTTTATATTTTTTCATAAAAAATTATATCATTATATGATGGATTTGTTATTATTTTAAAATTAATTAAAAATACAATTCCCTGCTATGAAATATAAGAACCTGAAAAACATTATGCTGAGTGAAATAAGTCAATCACAAAAGAATACTGGTATTGCACTAAAAAGAAACACTCAGAATAGGCAAATGTATAGAGATCAAGAGTTTAACAATAGTTAAAAGGGGTAGGAAGGAAAAAGAAGGAAATCTTTTTTAGCTTGCATTAAGTTTCTGTTTATGAGGCAAAAAAAAATTTGCCAATGAATGCTGATAATGGCTGCACAGCACGGCCAACTGAATTGGTTTCACTGAATTGTACATGTGAAAAATGTGCAATTGGCCAATATTGTGTTACCTATATTTTTACAACAATAAAATTTTATTATTAATTCAAATTTTGATCCCTCATTGGTAAATTTCAATAGCTATAATGCATATAAACCAAACCACCATAATTTTTAAGAATGTCAAGGCCTTTGATAACCAAATCACTGAAGCGAGCATTACTTACAGCTTTATTATTCTATGTATCACTTTCTTTTTATCATCATCATCATTATTATTATTAGAAAATACTTACAAAGTGAAATATTTTCTCTGTTTCTCAGTTCACTTTTTCACGAGCTACATAGGAAATATCTTGTCTAAATTTGAGAAAATGAAGTTCCCTCATATATAGGAAGAAAGACAGGGGCTACATGCAGGAGAAAATTGCATAGAAAAGGAAGCAAATCCCATGCAAAAACCAGAGGCAGGCTGGAGGCTGACGAGCCACAACCAGGGAAACGGCTGAGACTGCTTCACCGTCTTCTCTTTAGGTTCTGACAATGTAAAGAAGAGGCATCTCCAACTACTGCACTTTCCCTCTGCCTATTCTACTTGACCAGAACTCTTCAGGGAGTCCCATCACCATTCTGGATTTCCTGCCAGGTAGGTGAACACATAACTGGAAATGGTATTGGCAGCATCAACAAAAACAATCCAATTGTCCAAATGGCAAAGGAGTACAGCCGGAATCCCAGCTTTCTGCCTCTCAATTCCAGGCAGAGGGACTGGGATTGTTACAGGGCAGCAGGCTTGCAATCTGACTGTCTAGAATAAGTACTAACAGATTCTGGGCTGAAGAGATTACGAGAGGCTAGGATAAATTACCAGAGCAGATCAGTTGGAAGGGGACCAAGGCTCAACTCCATTACAGAACTAAATAACTTTGACAGGTCTGTCCCTACTGGTTGAAGAGGCAGCAGAAAGCTGTTTTTTTCAAGCTCCTGGAGGTATTTCTCACAGCCTTAAATATATGAAAGTCACAATTCTAAAAACTGAGCATCTCTCAGATAATCTATAGCACGCTTCATGTCTATATCATCACTAGCACAATGCAGATATTGGAAAACTGATTCCAGCCGATATATGCATGGGTACACCAGCCATCTCTAATTCACAAAGAAATCAGGAAGAACTAAAAGCTATTTGTTATGATTTCAGTATAAAAGGCACTCAACAGAAAAAAAATGTTCTAAAGAATGATTAGGTAAAATAGTACTGTATTTTATATAGATGCTTATGGACTGGTGAAAGATAAGAATATTGTTTTCACTGTAAAATTCAGCATGCTTTTTAATTATGAATTCTGGATTTGGGGACTGTACATGTATTCCCCCTGCTAGGCATTCATACTGATGGGAATATGTGAAACTTTACTTGAAAGACAAAACCCAAAATTCTTGGAATTTTTCCTATTACGGGGTGTTCTCTTGAGATCATATGTGTCCCAAAAGTATCAACAGAGAAATACAACAAAACCAGGAACAGGAAAAAGGAAGCTTACCTGTGGTCAAGATGACTAAAGTCTTGAAGATTCAATTCTCTGGTGTCTTGAGTCAAATAAATCGTATCCACATCCTAGGTGGAATAGAATTCAATCATGTAAAAAATCCGTGCAGACAGAGAAACGAGAAAGGCAGAGGAAATTAGACAATGACAAAGACAGATTCTTAAGTAATCTGAAAAGGAAAATTTAAATAAAAATATATTATGGGGAAAGGATAAGGAAGGAAAGGAGTGGGGGTGGAAAAGACTAGATAAATATTGTCATGTCGTGTGTGTGTGTGTGTGTGTGTGTGTGTGTGTATAAAGAAAAATACTTACCCATTGTACTTCCTCCCTGTACGAAAATCCAAGCCAGTCACAAACGCAGGCATACATCTGAGAAAATCCACCTGAAGGGTACACAGAAAACAGGCCAGTTTTCCGTGAGGTGATTTTTAAATTAAAATGTTAAAGCTTAAATATGGTCAGTGTTTACAATGCTGATTATCCTTTCCGTTTGGGAGACCAGCACAGATTCTCTCTCCTGTGCTATCCTAAGTGCATAGCAGGATGCGATGCAGCTTAAATATAGGATTTTTGTCCACCAATCTAAGGTCTGTGTGGTACTAATTACACCTTAAAGCTAATTGTACCTTTACAGTAGCATACTAGGAATAGACTTAACTTCCTGGCGGGGGGACACTCAGCCAGGCATACACATTTGGGATTTGAAATGCATGCTCACCACATGGGCCCTGCTCAGCCACGGTCTGGCTGTCCCACAGAGCCTGGAGATGGGCCAGGCGCTCAGATGGCTCCATTGAGACTTTTCTCATGATCCTCCTGTAAGATCAGTAACAACACCAAATTTCAAAAACCCAAATGTTTTGAATTACACATAGAAATTTCTTTTGTGACTTGCATTTTTCTTTCTTTTTAATAATGGAGGGGTGTCACTTTAATTTGAGGAAACAGCCTCTTACATTCAGAAAGCTAGAACATGCTATTAGGAGGAGCTAGTTTCTGCAGAAGAAGGAACTGGCTTGGAAAAACAGAGGGTCAGCGAAAGATAGCAAGACTCTTTTTTTTTTTATATTTTTTTAAAATTTATTTTAATGAACATTTACAGAGATTTTGGATTTCCATTGTTGCATTTTTCTCCCTGCACCCCCCACCCCCTAGGTGGCTCTTATTTTTGAAAGGTAAAAGAAAAATTCCTTCAGTGGTATACAATTCCCTCGCCCCAAGTACACTCCACTATGCAAGCTTCATTCTGGACTCTTGTCATAACCATAATACCCTATCATATATCGCTTTTAAACTGATGAGAAGGACTGACATGGTGACTGCAACAATGGGCTTAAGGAGAGCAGAAATTGTGATGTTGGCACCGGATTGGACCGGTTTCATTATGCTGCAGACAGGATAGAAATGAGTTGGAGCTGATTCAGAGGGACTGAACACTAACAAAGGGAGGTAAGAATCTAAATCTAATAATACACCCCTTTATTTAACATCCCCCTGTAAAATAAAGGATATACAGCAAGTAAATCATCTCCCTAACACTGGATTTAAGAATAGCTAGAAAAATAAGACACTGCATTTTAAGTGAATTGGGTTATTAAATTCTGTGACTATCAACTGCAGTTGATGTTGTTATATACCACCAGGTCAACTACAACTCTTAGTAACCCTATGAACAACAAATCTGAATCTTGTCCTATCTTTCACCACCCTCACAATTTTTGACATGTTCAATTCCATTGTTACAGTCACTGTGTCAATCCACCTTAAATCCTCCTTAAAGGTCTTCCTCTCTTTTGTTACCTTGTATCTGCTCCACTTGGTTCTATCATCAAGTGAAAAAGAGAGAGATAGGCATGACAAAACTGTGGTTTAATCAACAAGATCTAAGATCACATAAGCAATGTGATGGGTGGGGTATGGTGGGGTGGAGGCCAGTGGAGGGAAAGAGGCCTTGGACTCTGAAGAACACTGCGGATGAGCCATTCAGACCATGACCAGACTTGCGGCATAGTAGCAAAATAAACATATTAAATCATACTAAACTTATCTTAATTGTTCTTAAATGGTCTTAAAGCATTTCTGTGATGGATAGTGCTTTTAGACATCATTATGAATTTTAGCCATCTTACTTCTAGTTATCCTTTTTTTCTACTGGGTAGTTTCCAGATACCATGTGTTCTAGTATGATAGATGGAGAGAGGATTGAAACTGTCAATAATTACATCTTACTTGACAGTCAACACCTTTAGTACTGTTGGGAGATTAGGAGATGTATTGTTTTGGGAAAGTCTGCTGTCAGGGAATCTCTCCAAATTACTAAGATCAGTGATGGTAGTTTAAAGACTAAGGGGCACCTGATTCAGGCTATGGCTTTTCAGTTACTTGGTATGCATCTGAGACCTAGACAATGAACAAAAAAGACAGAAATCAAATTGCTGCCTTTGAGTAGTAGTAGTGTTGGGCAAGAGTACTGAATATCCCATGGACTATCAAAATAACAAACAGATATGTCTTGTAGAAAAAGCAGCCAGAGGCAAGGATGGCAAAGCTTCATTTCTTACACTTTGGACATGTTGCCTGGAGAAGTTATTCCTTGGAAAAGGATCTCATAATTATAAAGTTAGAGGGCCAATGAAAGAAACAAAGAACCCCCATGAGATAGAATTACAGCAACAGACTCAGGTGGATCAGAGAGACTGAAGATGGCACAGGATAGGGCAGGATTCAGGTCTGTTGTTCAAAGGGTCGCTGTGAGTCATACTTGACTCAACAGCACCTAATAGGGATGACAAGTCATTTGGTCAACCTGTTCTAGTCTTGAATGGAACCTCATATGCAAAGTAGAGCATTTAAATAAAACATTGTGTTGAGTTGATAATATTTTCCTACTTTACACCTTTTATGATTGAGGCAAAATCAGGTATAATCAACTGATGTCAGACTTACTCCTTTTAAATCCTTGCACAAACACATACCACCTCCAAGTATGACTGCTGTTCTCTATTTCATCCAAAACACTGATGGTGTTGCTGTGTACAATTGTGTCAAAACAGACTCACAGTTAACCCACTAGTGGGTTTTCAGAAGCAGTTTAATTGCACAGGAAGAGATCACCCATGCTTCTCCCGTGGGGCAGCTGGTGCATTTGATCCACATGCTTCTGGGATAGCAATGCAGCATCTTAGTACTAGGCCATAAGATATCCCCAATACTGAGTAAGTAGTAGTATTGCAACAATCTTTAATTTAGAAAAAGAGTGTGATATTACAAAATCAAAGAGTACTAGTAGTGCATTTGTTAAAGCATTGAGGTGTTTTAACCAACAGGGTCATCTGTGGTTGGCAATTTGAACTCACTAACATTTCTCATTGGAAGATGGAGAAGCTAGCCTTGGAAACACTATAGAACAGTTCTATTTTATGTCTTATAGGGTCACTATGAATTAGTTTTCAGTAGACCTTACAATGGTTCAGTAACATTATTCTGGCATTTTGGAGGCAAGATAGGGACGCCAGATATTATACAAAGAAACAGTAGACCTGTGGAAGGCAGACAATTCACTTGTACATAAGATTTCATTTAATCTCAGATATACTAAGGTGGACACTCACCTGACTTCATCTCTGATCACATTTCGCTTTTAAAGTTGTTGCCGTCTTTTAGCAGAGCTACAAAGGATGCTATTTCAATGGCACATGGCACATAATGTAGATGTTTAAGAGAGCCAAGAAAATAAGGCAAAAATATTTTACAGATAGCAGATGGGATGAAAGATATGTAGGAGGCAGTCTAGAATTGTGGAGAAAAATAAACTATTCTTTACAGAGGCTTCCTACTAATAGTCTCCCTCCGAGCAATGTTGTGATGTTGTTGTTATGTGCCATTGAGTCACTTGTGACTCACAGGAATGCTATGCATGGCAGCTCTGGACCCTGCTTTAGCCTGAGCCAATGTCATCGTCTCTGACACATCTACCCCCATTATGCTAGTCACTGACTGAATTCATCTCATCGATGGTCTTCCAAAACACAACGTCCCTCTCCAAGGACTGGTCCCTCCTTGCAACATGTCCAAAGATGTCAGATGAAGCTTCAGAAACCTTTCCTCCAAAGGGCAGTCTGGTTTCACCCTCTTGGGGATGAATTATAGGACCTAAATGTGTCATACGAAATTTCTGGAAAATTACAGCTCAAAGGCATCAATTCTTGAACACCACGCTTGTCAAAAAAGGAGGAGGACCTTCAATCAGATGAATTGACACAGTGACTACAATAATGGGCTCATGTATGTCAGAAATAATGAGGATGGCACAGAATAGGACAGGATTCTAATATGTTGTGTGTAGGGTCACTATGAGTAGTACTCAATTCTATGATACTTACTAACAACCACAACCACCATCAGTCTACCAATTTATCATACTTTGGTTGCCAGTGTTACTATGATACTGTAAGCTATGTCATTAGTATTTCAAATACAAGCAGGGTTATCTACGGTGCATAGGATTCCAAACTAAACATAGTACAAAGAAAGGTATGATTATTTAATTTTAAAAGTTAGCTAATGAAAACTCAATGGATCACAGGATATTGTTTGACACTCCAACTCACTTACATTGGGCACATTATCAACAGGAGGGACCAATTACTAGAGAAAACGAGAGAAACACTCCATGAGATGGACTGACTCAATGGCGACAGTAGTGACCCGAAGCACACCAGTGATCATGACAATAGAACGAGGCCACACATGTCACTCTGTTGTATGTGAGACTCACAAGTTGAGTTGACTCAACAGCAACAGTGGATTTAGAAATCAGAGTCTAAATTTATTCTAAAAAGGATGAAGGACAGACATTAAGGAGCTAAAGTGGCATCAATAGAAAGCAGGGTACCAGGGGGAAGGGAGAAGAAATGTGAGGGAAGCCCAGATGGCTATGAGAACAGAGCCCTCCCTGCTCGCAGCCACAAGGAAGGCTGCCCTTAGGATTTTCTGTAACCATCGACATCATACTTCAAAGTCAATAGCTGAGTATTTCTAAATAGTTCCACTTCCGTAATGATATCTCTTCTTTTCTTTTAACTTTGTTGTTATGTGCCATCAAGTCGTTTGCGACTCATAGCGAGCCTATGTACAACAGCCCTAAATGCCGTTCTATCCTGTGCCAACCTCGCTGTATCAAACACATTCATTCCACCACTCCACTCACAGAATCGATCCATCTCATCGAAGGTCTTCCTCTCCTGCGCTGTCCCTCCAATCTCCCAAACATGATGTCCCTCTCCAAGGACCAGTGCCTCCTTGCAACATGCCCAAAGTATGTCAGACGAAGCCCCAGAATCCTTGACTCCAGGGAACATTCTGGCTTCACCCTCTCCAGGACAAACCTGTTTGTTCTCCTAGCAGTCCATGGTATATTCAACACTCTTCTCCAGCACCACAACTCAAAGGCATCAATTCTCTTTCTATCATCCCTAGTCAGTGTCCAACTGTCTGATGCATAGCACATAACTGCAAAGACAATAGCCCGGATCAGGCGCACCTTAGTCTCCAGCCTGATGTCGTTGCACTTCAGTACTCTTGAGAGGTCCCTCACAGCTGCCTTTCCCAATGCAATTCTTCTCTTGATTTCCTGGCTGCTGTTACCAAGAGTGTTGACTGTGGAGCCAAATAAACGAAAACTGTTAACTATCTCAATCTCTTCACCATTCATACTGATGCTGCCAATTGGCCCAATGGTGAGAATCTTTGTTTTCTTCATATTGAGCTTCAATCCATATTGAAGACTGCAGTCCTTGACCTTCTGCAGCAAACGT